ATAAGGGCTGGGAACGCCCTCCCTCCCGCCCCCGCCCGTCTCTCCGCGCTTCTCCCAGGCTGGGTCTGGGCTAAGTGTCCCTTTTTAATGCCTAAAACCCTCGTTTTTCTCTGTGCCCCGAGAGCACATCGCCCTCGGCCGGGGTGGAGTGTTTGGTCTTGTTAAGTCTGTTTTCATGGCTCAAGCACGTCAGGTCTGTGGCTCAGGTCCTTCCCTTCGCGCTGTCAGTTTTCTGTCCAGGAGAGTCGGGGTGTTGTCAGGCCTCCGGGTGTGAGGGGCGAGTGCCCAGCGTGTCGGTTTCAGGCCTGGGCAGAGATGCCGCGTGATGGAGAGCACCCGTGCCAGCACTGCCTGTGGACACCCCACTTGCTCAGGGAGACAGCGTCTGAGGCGCCTGGCACATGAAGACGGACGCCCTGGGAGGGAACTGGTTTGGCAGAGATGCATGCATCTGGGCGTGAAAAGCCTGATGGAGTCAGTCCGCCCAAGGGGTCGCCCCCCATGCCCATTCTTCCCTGGTGTCTGTCCCAGGGGGCTGCCGTCACCGGGAGTGGAGAGGAGGCTGCGGGCCAGGACTGTCCGTGCTGTGGGCCTTTTCGGGGTTGGCTCCCAGGACCGTGCACGTGCCTGACTGGGACCCACCTGGACACGCCTGTCGCCCCTCATGCACTAACTGCTACTTCTCCATCCAACAAGGGCCCCGCCAGCCCAGGAGGGCGCAGCGCATGGGCCACAGCCGGGCAAGGAGGGCTCTCCAGGGACTGTGGAGGCGCCCCGTGTGCTGGGCCCCGGAAAGGAAGACTGTCCCCGTCCGCCCAGAAGGCAGCCCGTGTCCCTCTCCCACAACGGCCTGATCATCTCACCTGACAATGAAAGGTGGTTGGGTTTCAGCCTGAGACCATAGCCTTGTCATCGCGCACAGGCAGGATGAGAAGATGGAGCTGTGCGTGCCCAGGTCACCCCGGGGGAGCAGGAGAAGACGGCATGGGACCCGCCTCCCTCAGGCGTCCGTGGAGGGTCACAGGCCAGGGGCCACTGGTCGCTCTTGCCCAGGACTGAACGGGACACCTGTGCGCAGTGCGACTGCTGCAAACTGTCCACCGGGGTAGCCAGAGGCCAATCAGTCCCAGAAACTTAAAAGCAAAGATGGTAAATCTCTGATTTGTCCCACGCACGTTTGGCTTGTTTTTAAGCCTTGCCGTTACGAGGGTTTCTGGGGCCCTTTCGTAGGACACAGCGGGGTCTCGGCTGGGCCGGTGCGGGCAGGGCCTGGCTGCACAGCCGCTGTGCGCTCCTCCTCCTCAGGCCATCCCAGGGAAGAGCG